GCAGACCTTGGAACACCAAGCTCTTCTTTATTCAGCTGGTCAAACACCTGATGTGGTTCATTTTCACGGTAGAAAAATGGCCCTGGGCTAAAGCAAAGGTCTGAGTTTTATAGGCTTAATTTAGGGAAAGATAGGAGGGTAGTTCCAGGGGTTCATTGTATTGGGGTCAGCTGATCCATTGGGGAGGAGTCAGGCGCTAGTCAGGTGAGAGTTTCTTTTGAGTTCTCCTGAGTTTTCCCTTCCTGCCTTCCCACTTCCCACAGCTTTTAAATGACAAAAGCTTCCATTTTACCCCCCACAAGGCGGGTGGTAGAACAACTGCAGATAGCCATGCACACAACTTTTAACCAGATACAGGTCAAGCATTAGTACTTATTAGTGCTTTGAGAAGGAATGGAAATATAGAATCAGAATGGGGACTGCTGAGGCTAGGTTGTGGCTCAGTGGTAGAGCACTTACCTAGGTTSGATCTCAACACCACGTAAAAATAAATAAAGGTATTGTGTCCCAGACGCAGTGGCACAAGCAGTTCCAGAGGCTGAAGTAGGAGGATGGAGAGAGTTCAAAGCCAGCCTCTGCAAAAGTAAGGTGCTAAGCAACTCAGATCCTGTCTTGAAATAAAATAAAAAATAGGACTGTGGATGTGGCTCAGTGGTGGAGTGCCCCTGAGTTCAATCCCTGGTACCAAAAAAAAAAAAAAAAAAAAAAAGGAATTGTGAGTATTCAATTGAAATTCAATTGAAGGAGGCTGGAAGAGAGAAATAATACTTGCAGAGGCCCTACTTTGACATACCTGGGTTACTCCCTTTCAAAAACTGACATGCTTAACTAGAATACTAATTGCAATAATGCAGTTATTTCGAAAAACCACTTTTCTTTCATCCATCCCTCTGAGCCTGAACTTTGGGCCACACTTGCTCTTTTCCTGCCAGAGCCAAGAATAGCAGCTTCTGTCAACTAGTTGGGTTGTTTTGCAACTCACTCATGTTCTCTCCCATTCTTCAGTGTCGCCACAGAGCCTTCCCTACTTGGTTTTAAACACTTCTCACCTTTAGCACTTTAGAACTTGCAACTTCTTTGATACCCAGGGTCATTCTCTTATCTTCTTATACTCCAATTTTTCCCCTCTTATGTTATCCCTTTTCCCCTTCCTCCAAGTTGAGATACTCTTCAGTAAAATGGGGAAAACTTTTCTTTCCATCAGATAAATAGTTCCTCTCCTTTCTTTTTTCAAATCTTGTTCTTATGACTAATTGTATTTCAATTCATCTGTGAGAAATCCAACTGGCCCAGTAGTCATTTGTGTGTCCCACTCTGTGTAAGGTATAAAGACTTTGAGGCCACAAAGATTAGTTAACATTCTGTTCCTGCTGTCAAAGTTGATCATTTAGTCTAGTGGCACAAGTCACTATGTGCTAGGCAGAATCTATGCCAAGCAACATTACAGGTAAAAACAAACTGCAGTGGGAAAGCACAAAGGGTTTAGCTACAGTGAAACTCATGTTAGTTCTCATTTCGGTTGGGCCTCCTACAGGGTAAACAGGCCAAAGGAAAGTCACTGACACCAGGAGTCAGGTAGGGCCAGTTAGGTCTTTGGGGTAGGGAGGGTTTCACTTAAACTACTTCCATCACCTGGGCAAGGATCTTCCCCAAAAGAGACATAAGGAACTCTCCAAAGGAAGACTACCATCTTGGTTTCCCGGAAAGGAAAAAGACAGGTCATGCCTCCACTAGATGTGTTAGGAAAGAAATTCATGTATCTATGCTAGGGGTGTTGTTGAATGTCTTCTGCAGTATTGAAAGTACTGCTTTCCTCCTACATAAGGCAAAAAACAAACAAACAAACAAAAAAACTTTGGAGGCCCCTCCTGCATTCTCCAAATAAGTCAGGGATTTATTCATCCATCAACTCAGTGACCAGGAACTTAGTGGGTATTTCTTGGATCTGAGCATGACTGCTGCTTCAGAGAACAAAAGATAGTCCCTATATATACAAGGAGCTCACAATTTAATTAATGAGAAAGACAGACACAAAAGAACATAATAGCAAGATAGGTGTGTTTCTATGTATTCTGCACAGGTTGCTTCCCATATATCAGCTTTGGGAAGATCAGGAAAGGCTTCTCAGAGGGAGTGACATCTCAGTTCTGGCTTGCAGGGTAAATTGGAGTTGGCCAGGGATAAAGAGAGACAAAGGATGTCCCCAGGCAGGATGGAAACAGGATATGCAAGGGCTGGCAGCTGGCAGGCTTGCAAGTTTAGTGACTGGGAATTTACATTTGAAGGGAAGAGGGGCCAAGTCTGGAGAGGGGAAGCTAAGGAAGTTCTAGGGATGTTWTGTGGGTGGGGGAAGAAATCAGATGAAAAGCTTTTCATGCCATGCTACACTGAGTTTATTTTCTGAGAAAAAAAAAGAAGGATTAAAGAACTACAGAAAGTTTCATAAATATTAAATGTCACCTGGTTAAGTTATATGCAAAAGAGATATGTAAAACCATCTACATAATTTGTGGGCTGCCATGTAAAATGAAAATGTAGGAGCTCTTGTTTAAAAAGTGTTAAGAACTTCAAGATGGCAACAGCAGAATATTAGCCCAAGATGGGAGGTCCTCTGAAGGGTGGGACCTTGTRCTACCGTTCAGCTCACACACCCATGAAGCTGGCCCTGCGGATAGGCCCCCATATCTCTGTTAGATATTAAAAACAAAACTAACCAAAAATATATTTTCTAAGAGCTGTCTCTTGTTTCAGTCAGATAACAAGGAACTGCTTCATGGAAGCTATGATAAATGTCAATTTTATAGGAGTGTGTGGAAGAAAATAAGTAGTATGCCAGATGATTCATTAAAGAATCTGGATCTTATCCCAGTCGGGGTCAGGATAATGAAGGTCAGAATATGGGGCTGACTCCAGTCCTGAACTGCAGCCAAAGTAGAAGTCAAGAATCAGGATTGATACACTCTCAGAGGCCCATGTAATTAATCATGTATTTATTAAATCTCACATTTGGGCTTTGGTTAGGTCCGAACAGTGGAACAGTGAAGGATATGGAAAACAACAATCCC